AAGGGAAAAGGAAACAATTTCATTAGTTTTGAAGTTCTGCAACACATTTGGATCACTTATTGATGTGACTCAAGATCAAATGTAATAAAATGTATTCAAATTCACAGATAAAAAAGACAATAATATACAATGTATTAATTATTGAAACTGTCCTAATTGGTTTTGAAGCTGTCTCATTGTTATTTGTTTCTCAACGAAACAATTTTTTAAAAAAACTAGGATGCAAGAAAAGATAATTCAACATCTGCAAGACAATGCAAAGATGAACAACGTGAAACTAATAGGCATTAATGAGAAAGAAGGAGTCAACACAAACCTGTACTGTAACATCCTGTAATTCAGTGGTGTCCCTACCTCTCTGTTCGAGATTATGAGGCCATAGAGGAAAGTGATCGATGATGCAGAGTGTGCCTAAGGAGTGTCACCTACAGAGAAAAACATTCTGTCAGGCGTTCACAGAGAGCAAATTATTCAAGCAATAGCCATGCTTCACCCACATGGCCGACACTGACAAAAGATCTACAAACTGTTGTACATGGTTTCAGGGTAAATTCTGAGGGGATTTGACTGACCTTGCCACATGCAAAAGTTACATTTTTAGTTATATGGATCTTACATTAACTTGGTCTTAACCACCCAACAGAAAATTATAACCATGAGGTATAAAAAGTAAAGACAAAAAAAAAGTAAAGACATTAATAGGCTGAGCTGAAAAAGGCTCAAGTCAACAGCTTCTGACATTGCCAGTTCAGTTGATAACCCACTACTATTATGAACTATTAGACCATATTGGGTTGTTTTGCCAAATTAAAGTATCTACAATATTTGAATGGCAATGGAACACCCATCTCTGAAAAAACAAAACAAAAAAGGAATATAAATGGAGAACCATTTGTGGTGAAATAATATATATATACATGTTTAAACAAAATAGGGTAGATATATAGCTACTTTCTCTTAGTTCAATAAGAAATATTTGTACTAATATTGCTTAGACAAGATATCATGTCTTCATCTTATACTCTGAATAACTACTATGAAGACAACAGTATGTGATATATTCATTATTGTAACTGTCCTACTACCCTGTTTTGAAACTGTTTCATTGCTATTTTTTCCTCATTAAAATTAATTGAAAAGAAAAAAATTCCTGCTGGCAAATTTGCCTATTGCTTGACATTTGAGAACTTCAATTTTGGGCTTCCTAGCATTCCCATGTAAGACTGGCTCAGTGTCCCCATTGTTCTGTGCAAAATACATGTTCATCGTTAACATCTGGTGTTCTCTCAGGATTCTGGAATGTTGGTATGTCCTAAGCAAAGGATATCTGTGTGCCTGGACCCTAATAAAAAACCTCTGCTGTGTCACTGAGCTCTGCTAGACACCTCCACTCATCTCGTTGCAGGTGAGGAGGTTGAACTTGTGATTTGTGACCTCACTGGCAGAAGATTTGCCAATTTGTGACCGATTCCCCTGACTCTGCCGATGTGCCTCTGGTCTTTGCTATTGTGTATACAGAATCATTTTCAGCCTGTGACAGCTCTGGGCACAGCTGTAGGCCAAGTCCTTCATTACCAGTGAATCCTTGGTCTTTGGAATGGGTTGGGGGATCCTCATCACATAAGGGGTACCTGGTGTCGTGCTAGAAATAAAGCTTTAAATTCTTCAATGACCACATAACTTTGGACAAGTATATACAACCAGTGAACACAAGGGCCTAAGGAACCCTCTGAGCATTTTGGATAGCAAATGACATTTCCCTGTTGTATTAAGGGCAAGAAGATGCATCCACAGCTGCCATGTGGCAGGCTTCACCTCCTCGTATTCTACCCAACATTTAGTTTTAATAGAAAAGGAAGAAATGTATCTAAAATTTGGTTCTCTTTATGAATACATGCATTTCTAGGTGGATGAGTATCTGCTATCCACCTGCATTTTCTTTCTTTCTTGCAGATGCCTTGGTCCTATCATGTGGGCATTTTCCTAGTTTTCCTCCTTTGTGCAACCTCATTCAGCCTTGGGCAAGTGCCTTACTCTCTGCCTGTATATGGCTGCATTACACTGGGCGCTCCACCTTGTCTCTGCCTCAAAACATCATTGGGAAATGTGCCCAACAGGCGACAGTGCATTCATGAAATGCTCCTACTTCCAAATCCTTACTAGTCAGGGTCCCTTCTGCAAAATGCATCAGGTTGTATTTTTAGTGCTTCTTAGGAAAAAGAGCTCAGACTCTTTTTGGGAGGGAGAGAAGGGGGGAAACACCAAAGCCTAAAATCCTCATAGATAGGTTCAGGCCAAAGTTACTGATTGAGTCACATCTTCTAGGAGTTCATGCCTAGAAAAAAAAATCTCAAA